TAACAGCAGACTTTCCCATGGCAATGTGGAAAGAAAAATCAAAATACACTTCACATCAATATACTGGCCATTTACAGTATTTTTCAGCAGTAAAAAACACAGACTTGGTAACAGAAATGAGGATGAGGATATAAGGATAGAATTGTGTACACTCCATGATTTATTCATTGCATTTATTACTTTATAAGAAACATAAATGCAGAATATACACATGGATATGCACAGGGATCGGATCGATTATAACTGTGGAAGGAATCAGTGGAGAAGATCATTAACATCTGTGAAAACTTTGCCAGGTGCTGACTGTGAAACAAACCATCAAGCAATCATATCCAAGTTCAAACTGAAGTTAAAAAAAAAAATCAAATCCACAGGAATGAAAATTTGACCTTGAGTCTATCCCACTTAAATTTCTAAACCATCCCAGGAACAGATTGGAGATCTTGAACATGAATGAATGAAACCAGGTGAGCTGTGGGAGAATATAAAGAATATCATACAGAAAGAATGCAAAAGTCCATTAAAAAGACAGAGGAGGAAGACAGACCAAGATGGACTCTAAATATTGCACTAGAGTGTCAGGGCAGCTCTGGAAGACAAAGCAAAGCATTAGGAAAAAAATGTGCAAAGAACTGGAGGAGTCAGATAATCAAAAGGGGCAGACTTGCTTGGCATTTCTTAAGCTGAAGGAACGAAAGAACAAATTCAAGCCTTAAGTATGCTATGGGCAGAATATTTCAGGAGCTAGGAAGAATTAAAAGAAGGTGGACACAGGACACAGAGCCCCTAAACCAAAAGAATTGGCTGACATAGAAGAATTTCATAAAACAACATATGAACATGAGGCCGTAGCAATGAAGAGGAAGTTCAAGTTGTTCTGAAGAAATCGGCAAAAAAATCAAAGCCCCAGAAATTGATGGAATACCAACTGATATATTTCAACAAACAGATACAGCCCTGGACATGATCACCAGGTTTTGCTAAAAAATCTGGAGGACAACTACCTGGTCAAAAGACTGGAGGAGATGTGTATTTGTTCCCATTCCAAAAAAGGTGACCTGACAGAGTCCGGAAATTATCAAACAATATCAGTTCTTTCATATGCAAGTAAAATCCTGCTGAAGATTATCCCAAAAAG